GACGTATCATCGATTCCAGGTCGACGCTTCCCCCCCTGAGCCGGTCCCCCCCGTAATGTTCCCCAGTGCGGGAGGTTCGTGCAGCGTTGGCGCGCCGGCGACGCCGGCGAAGGCGTTCAAGGTTGAATTTTGCGACGCGGAAGCACCGAGGGACGCGATGACGCCATCGGACCTGACGGAATCCAACCTTGGACGACTGGGGCCGCGATCGGCTCAGGGTCGAACGGTCGACGCGGTGTCAAAGACCTTTGCGCGCGCCGGCGCCACTCGAGCCTAACCGCATCCGCCGCGTCCTCCTCCGCTCTCCCTGGGGTCCGGGCGCTGTGCTCGTTTCGCGCCGGGCGTCTTCGCCGGGCCTCGGGCCCTGGGGCCCTCGCACGCCGGCAGGGCTCGACGGGTGTCGCTGACTGGTCTGCAGGGTCCGGGGCTCCGGTCGTGCTTGCGAAGGCCTTACGGCCGGTGCCGCCGACCCTGGAGAAGACGACCCCGACCACGGCGAGGTAGAGGGACGAGGAGGAGGAGACGCAGGGGGAGGGGGCGGAGGACGGCGCAGGAGGAGGTGGAGGTGAGGGACAAGAACGAGGGGGGGGGAGCAGCAGGAGGGCGGCGGCGACGATGTGGAAGTGCATGGCGATGTGGAGGCCGAGGTTGAAGGGAGGGGGGTCTAGGGTCTAGGGCTCTGGTCGTGATTTTCCGCGATGTTGCATTTTGTCGCAGCGTCGGATCTCGGGGTTTCTCCTCCTCCGCCTCCCCTCTCCTCCCCCTTTTTTTTGCTGTGGCTTTGCTGTGTTCCTGTGGCTTTGCTGCGTTCCTGCTCGCAACGCACACCGCCCGAGGCGGCGGAGAGCTTGCGAGATCCACCTACCGGAAGTGCGTGAGCTGCTTTTCTGGACTCTCGCTCACAGCCTGGGTCTCGTCATGAGATCTTGTGGTATTGCCCTTTGTGCACTCAGCGCGTCCTCTGTCCACACCCGCCCGGGTGGGGCAACGCTCGTGGATATGTCGCGGGGACTCCCTGGCCACCACCGTGTCAATGTTGAGTTACACTGTGAATGCCTGGCTCTCCTGGGGCTTTGCTGTGTTCCTGCTCGTTAACACTTGTCACGTGTGCGGAGCTACACTGTCAATGCCGCGCTTTCTTGTGGCTTTGTTGCGTTCCTGCTCGCAACGCGCACCTCCAGAGGCGGCGGAGAGCTTGAGAGATCCACCTACCAAAAGAACCCTCCTTTTTGTTTTTCTTTTCGGCAGCAGGTTCCGCTGCATCCTCGTGGTCACAGCACCCAGCAACTGCGGGCAGGTTAAGCAGAAAGAGAGAGAGAGAGAGAGAGAGAGGGTGAGAGATCGCCCGCGCGCGCTCTCGGAGGGCCTTCTTCTCCTCTTCCTCATCCTTCTCCTGCTTTTCAGCGCCAGGACTCCCATGGAGTAAGAACCGTTTGAGCTCGTGTTCTCTCGCTCAAATGAACGGCGTCCGTGGCCTTCCAGACGCCAGACACGCTGCGCTAATGTTTTGCTCGGGTGGATCAGCTGGCCTTCGGATGAATTGCTCGTGTGAGTCGTACTCTCATAATACCTCCTCTTCCATCTCCTCCACCTCCTCCTTCCTCTCCTCTTCCTCCATCCCCACCCTCATTCTCGTTCGCCTCTGCCTCTTCCGCCTCTTAATGCTCCCCACTTCCTCCTACCCCTTCTCTTTGTCATTCTCCCCCTCCCTCTCTGCCTCCGCTTCCTCCTCCGTCTCCACTTCCCTCTCTGCCTCTCCCTCCTCTCCCTCCTCCTGCTCCTCCTCCTCCTCCCCCTCCTCCTCCTCCTCCTCCTCCTCCTCCTCCTCATCCTCCTCCTCCCCCTCATCCTCATTTTCCCCTTCCTTCTCCGCCTCGGTGCAAGATTCTGGCCCAGGTTTTGTCTACGAGATGCCAGGGGGGAAGGGCGGGATTTCAACGGAGTCGAGCCACGCCATGGGCACCAGGGACAAGGAACTCCGATGCTCATTCTGTGCAGGCTGGCCCGGGTCTTGGTTGAGCCAATCTTGGCGGCGCACACACAAGGTGTGGCGCGAGGGGGGGCCCTTCAAGAATGTCAGGGGGGATCCAAAGAAGGCAGGCACATCAAGACCTCTGGGCCTGCAAGAGGCCGTTTCAGAAGCCTCCAGGCCTTTCTCAAAAGTCACCCGGCTCCTACGCATGTCTCCTTGCCATCTTACCAGGCTGCGCACTCACGCGCCACTCCCTCGTGCGCGCAGTCAACAAGCCCGCATGATCGACGTCGTGATTGTTTTCGACTTTCGACTCGCTCCCCCAGGGCCAGCCTCTCATCCCGAGCATTTTTGTTGGGGGTGCTCCCGGTGCGCGGCGCGGGACCGAAGCCGAACATCACAGACATGCTCCGTCGTGCGTGTTTTCTGTTTCGCGGCGCGGCCTCGGCGGTCCCGGCCGACTCTCCCAGGGTTCGCCTTTTTCGTCCCCGATCCATGCTTGGACGGCTCCGCGGGGCCCCAAAAACGGCCCCGAGGCCGAGATCCCTGAAGAGCGCACGCACTGAGAGCATCAGGAGCATCGTCGGACATTTGGGGTCGCTGGGCGGGGCACACTGCAGGGAGAAGGAGCCAGGGGTTGTCCCTTTTGCGTGCCGGTCTCTGTTTTGTTATCTTGTCTGCGGCTCTGAGCAGCGGCAGCGTCACGGGGGGTAGATTCAGGGGGATGCATCGGCCCTCAACCGCCCATTGATCTCCGAGAGAGGAGCCCGATAACTCCCTCCGCCCAAGAGAACTAGCCAAAGAGTTTCCCTGCCCCAAGCATCCAGCGCTCCAATAGCTTCGATGCGTGGCTCCCTGGGGGTCTGGACAACTTCCCTTGGGAGATGTGTACTGCGAGGCACGCTCGGCCTCACGCCCGCTCAGGATCGAAGCCCATGCACGTGCGCCTGTCGCGCAGACAGTCCTCGAGCGCTCGAGGTCACACCTCGGGCTCCTGAGCACACGGGCAGCTCCTTCATCCCGAGTCGTTGCCTTGTGATGGCCCCAGAGGCCGAACATAGCCAAACTGATCGGACGCTCGTGCTTCTCTCGAGCCTCGGATCTCCGGGAGGGGGGGAGCGGCCGAGGAGGAGGAGGAGGAGGAGGAGGAGGAGGAGGAGGAGGAGGAGGCCGGCCTGTCTGCTGGCCTCCTCGCTTCGCGCCTCCGCCGCCCCGGCCGGCGGGAGGCCGCCAGGCACGGCGACGAGGGCGCGGGCGGGCGGGAGGGGCGCGTCGTCGGCCCTCTCCGCGCGGGTGCAGTGGAGGCCCATGCCAAGAAGCAAACCCTGCTTGCCTGCAGGGTGTCCTGGGTTGCTTGGGCCTCGATGACTTCGTGGTGGAGAGCGCGACGTGCCCACACCAGAGCTCACTGGACGTCCTGGGGGGGTCTCGGGGTTGGGTTTCTCGTGGAAGGTTTCTTGTGGACTGGCCTCCACTGTAGGGGGGGGGATTTGCTGGGCATGTCTGGCCTTGGCCCCGCGCGCGGGGGGGGGGCTCCTGATTTCGGGTCGTTCCGTGGCCCTCGGTGGGGGCACCTACCCGTGGCGGAGGCCTGCCGTGGCCAGGGAAGCCCCTTCGTGCCTTATCCGGCGTCTCCTCTGGCGGCGCAGAGATCGTATTCGCCCTCCCGTCTTTCATCCAGCCCGTTGGGGGCCCCGGGAGGCCGACGACAGCACAGACAAACCGGCCGCCCCGATGTGTGTCGCAGCCTCGGACCTCTGGGCCCCTGGCCGACCACAGCGTCGCAGTGGCCGGGGCGAGGCATCGATCCGGCAAGCAGTCGGGGATGGGCGCAGGCGCGCGCGTTCTCTCCTCCTCTCCCCGCCCTGGGCGCTCTCCTGCGCGCCGCCGTGGCCTGGCCTCCCCCCGCTGGCCTGGCACTCTGGGCCTTCTGGACGGTCCCGGGGCCTGTCGAGGGCCCCCCGGGGGCCGAGAACGACCAAAAACTGGGGGAGGGATGCCCCTGATGGCGGAGGGGGGGGCGTGGCAGCGGCGGACCAGTGGGCAGCGTGCCTGGAGGCCTTCTCGATGGGGTCGGTGGATCGGGCCGCATTGCCGATGCATCGCCGACGCGGCTCGATGTGGGGCCTGACTTTCTCAACGCCGACGTCGCCGATGCATCGGCGATGCGTTGGCGATGCGGCGAGATCCTCCGGCTCGATCTACGCGGACCCCACCATAGAAGGCCTCCAGGCACGCGGCCCACTGGTCCGCCGCTGCCTCGCCCCCCCCTCCGCTCGGGGGCCTCCCTCCCTCCAGAGGTCCGAGGCTCCGAGAACACTGAAGCGGCCAGTCCTCGGTCGTTCTCGGCCCCTGGGGGCCCTCAACAGGCCCCGGGGCCGTCTCACAACGAATCGGGACACACATCTGGCAGGGCAGGTGCCCGGAGGAGGGAGGGAGGGAGGGAGGGAGGGAGGGAGGAGGGGGGGAGGGAGGGAGGGAGGGAGGGGGGGAGGGGGGGAGGAGGGGGGGGGAGGGAGGGAGGGGGGGGGAGGGAGGGAGGGAGGGAGGACCCCCGGGCCTCCACGCATCGAGCAACACCGGAGCGCTGGATGCCCGGGCCTGCCGCCGCAGGGCGCCCTTCCCGATCGGCTGGCTTGTCGCCCGGGGGCCCGCGGGCCGCTCTTAGACGCCCGGGGGCGTCGAGGGCCCCCCGGGGGGTCGAGCACGGCCGCTCCAGTTTCTTTGGAGCCTCGGACCTCAGTCTGCACGCACGAAATGGGTACTGAAAGAATGGGTACAATGCCCAACAGCGGATCTGGTTCATTTTGAACAGGAGTCGCTGTCCACGCCGCCGCGGCCTGTGTCCATCCGAGACAGAAGGCCGCCTGCCCAACAGCGGCCGCTGTTGGCTTGGGACAACATTTGTTGTTGGGCATAGTGCCCATTTTTTCGGTATCCATGTCGGGCGTCCAAACTCAGGGCCGATCCTCTCCACGTGTTCGATCCTCCCGCGGCTCCAGCGAGCGGGCCGGCGCCCCTCCTCGAGGACGGCGGCGCCCGCGGCGCGCCGGCCGCGGCGGGGGCGGACGAGCAGCCCGCCGCGGGCGCGGAGGGGGCTGCGGGCCGGGAGGCTGGCGCGGCATCGGAGGCGCGCGGGCCTCTCGTCGCCGAGCGCGTTCCACTACTCGCAAGGTGCCTGCTCGCAAACGTCCGAAAACACACATGTCTGCTTTGTGCTGCCACTTTTCGTAGAGCCCCCGCGGGGGAGCCGGCCCTTTTGCGAGCAGCTGCTTTGCGAGTAGTGGGACGCGCTTGTCTATCCCGGGGGCATTAGCAGGGGCAGGCTCAGCCCAGAGGGTCCGAGGCTCCGAGAACAGCAACAAGAAAGAAGGAACGGCCGGTTTGTGTGGCCGTCGCCGCCTTGCAGAGGCCCTCCGCCGGTCTCGGGGGCAGCATCACGGGCAGGCTCGGCCCTGACACTTCAGACGTCAACTCGGCCCCATTTCAGCTTCAGTACTTCGTTCATCAAGACGAGAGGAGCCGTCAACTCCGCCCCGACGCTTTGTCCGTCAAGACCGAAGGCGTTTTCAACCATCAACTCGGCCCCGACGCTTTGTTCGTCGAGACGGAGGGTGTGGCGAGGGGGGCCGTCAAGGGGGTTCGTCAACTCGGGGGGTGGCTGTCAAGGGGGGTCGTCACCCCAGAGAGAGGCCGTCAAAAGCGTTCGTCAACTCGGGGAGAGGCCGTCAAGGGGGTTCGTCAACTCGGAAGGGGGCCGTCAAGGGGGTTCGTCAACTCGGAGAGTTGACGGCCAAAACCTTTCACTAAGATGGAGTTGGCAGGTCAAGCGCCGCATAGCAGAGAGTATACATGGTCATCCGTCGTGACGTCCAGGCCCACCTCCAGACCCGCCGCCCGCGACAGACTGTGGGAACGAACGCCCCCGGCCCATTGATCCGAGTGACCCCCCTTTTGGGGTGAAGCGTCACAGCAGGGAGTCGAGTGTTACCGCAATCATTTTGGCTCAAGGCCCGTTGCTTGCCCAGTCGTTGACAATCCCAAGATCTCCCCATCTCACCCTTCAACTTCCTATTCCCGATTCACCATCTTACATTGCTGTCTTATTCGGGCGCAGTGCTGACAGTTTCTGTGGGGCCGAGGTGTGCGAGAAAGGGCAGTGGCGAGGACACGATATCTTTCGATTCTGTCGGCTGGGGAACAGTGGTAGCGGAGCCCCTGAGGAGGCTCGTTTGCGGACCAGATGGCGCCGAGGGAACAGGATGTTTTTTTGTCAGCCATCACATCATCGGCAGGCCAGAGAACACTCAGTGCAGCATTCGGGACAGCGAGACCATGGGCAGACGAAAACAGCCAATTTAGATTCACCGAGGAGCAGCGCAGGTCTTTGCTAGACGGTGTCGTGAAGGCGGGGTTGCCAGCGCCGCCGGAGAGGTCCCCTCCTATACGTCCACCGACGTCCACCGTGTTGACGGACCAGCAGCTCAACGAGATAGTCCGCATGGTGCAAAGCCAGGTCCAGGAGTCAAGCCGTGACGGCGGAAGGCGGACCAGTGGCGGCGCCGCAGAGGACGACCGGGTGGATTGGGATCCATGGGCATCGGTCAAGGACAGCAGCGAGGACCAGAGCTGGTGGGACAGCTGGAACAGCTGGAGCCACAACGCCTGGAAGAACTGGGGCAAGAACGGCTGGTCCAATAATCCTGACTGGAGTGAGCGCGGCTGGGATTTCGCCGGGCCTGATGCCTGGACGAGCTGGAATGAGCATAAGATGTAGAGGAGCTCACCACATTGCCAGCTCACATGCACGCTGACAGGATCTTGACAACACTTCCCTTAGATCTGCAGCGAAAGAATGGATGGTTTCAATGGATGGTTTCCCAGATGAACTGATCACCTCAGAGAAGGGCGCCGATCGCATCATCGAGCGCCTCGACATTCTCTCTGGCGAGAAGGTAGATGACGAGAAGCGGAAGGTCGGGCGCAAATATCTTTTCTCTTTCAGAAGGCATCAAGGCGAAGGTTTGGCAGAATACGCGGCCCGACTCGATTTGGCTTTCGATCAAGTTGCAATCCTGGATCTTCCAGTGCCTGATGATTGGAAGTTCATGTCTTTTTTCGAAGAAGGGGTGGGGTCGCGATGAGCGAAGCCAGCAGCTGAACAAGGTCATGAGGAAGACCCGAGACTCGTGCGAGGAGGCGCCGGCGGCCATCAGGGAGATGGACGTCACGCGCCGAGAGCATCACTCCTTCCAGAAGAAACAATATTCCCCCCATATATGAGCCCGCGTACTCCGTTGCGGGGGAGGAACCAGACAATGAGTCCGTTCTAGATGGTGACGACGACGCCTCCTCGCTGGACACCGAAGACGAAAGGCGTCCGCACGTGGCACTCGAAGGCTTGAGTGCACGTGACGACGAGTTGCCGCAGGCCTTCGCCACGTTGCAGGAGGGGGGATGGAAGACTTGGACACAGAACAGAGAGTTCAAGAGGAACATGAAAGTCGTTCGAAAGTTCTTCGACAGAAGTCGTGGCAAGCCAGACTGCCCACCGAAGAGATCAGAAGGGGGGCGTCGAGCAGCCGGCGGGCAGTTTCGACCTCGCAAGCCCAGGTTGCAGCTCGCGGAACTGATCAAAATAACCAAAGGCCGTGCGCTGAATCACAGGGGCCACTGGTTGCGCGAATGTCCGGCGCGGAATGGCCAGAGCAGCATTGCTGGCGCATCCGCGGGAGCCGCCGCGAACGTCGGGGCCACAGTGCGCGCGTTCGCGAATCTCCTGGGCCCCGAGCAGGAGGGCCCCCGCGCGCTGGACGAGGCCGCGGCGACCCTCACGAAGGCGTGCCCTGGCGGGACGATCGCGAACGCTGCTGCAGGTCAAGGTCTGCTCGGCGCTCCAGCGCTGGAGCGTCACCGCTCGCACCCCAGTGAGATGAGGCTGAAGATCCCAGAGGTGTTCGGAATCCCAAGGGCCAGGGAGTCGGGGGGGGCGCCCGCGTCTTGAGCGCCCCTTAGATTTGAACATGCATCCAGGGGAAGATGGGAGTCATTGAACTCGATGTCCTCAAAGAGGACGCGCCCCCGCTCTGGCCCGTGGGGTTGCAGGAAATCCTCGGAGCCAGGATCGGCTTAATTTAACGAAATCAGACTCCAGAAGCCGGGGGTGAAGGCTGACGTGCGTCGCCTTCCCACGGGGCATCGAACCGTGCGCCTTGGTGATTTAAGGGTCCAGGCTCCAGGAGCAGCTTTCATTCTCGTTGACGGTGCTGAGGCAGCATCCACAGATCAGCGACCGTGATTTCCGGTGCAACCGAGCGTCAGATTACACGGGCGTTTAATCTTCATCGCGCGAGTCCGAGTCAGCGCTTCCTTCCTCGATGGGCGAAAGCGAGAGAGAGAGAGAAAAAAATCAAACAGAGAAAGAGAACTATAAATATAAAGAGAAAGAGAAAGAGACATAGAAAGAGGAAGAGAAAGAGGAAGAGAAAGAGAAAGAGAAAGAGAAAGAGAGATACATACAAACAAAAAAGATATATATATATATAGAGAGAGAGAGAGAGAGAGAGAGAGAGAGAGAGAGAGAGAGAGAGAGAGAGAGAGAGAGAGGGGGGAGGGAGAGGGGGAAAAAGAGAGAGAGAGAGAGAGAGAGAGAGATACAGAGAGAGAGAGAGAGAAAAACAGAGAGAGAGAGAGAGAGAGAAAAACAACACAAGTGAAACAATACAAAGAGATAGAGATAGAGACACGAAGAGACAGAGAGAGAGATGCGCATACATATAGAGAGAGGGGGAACATAAGAAGAGAGAAAGAACGAGAGACATAGAGCGAGAGAGAGAGAGAGAGAGAGAGAGAGAGAGAGAGAGAGAGAGAGAGAGAGAGAGAGAGAGAGAGAGAGAGAGAGAGAGAGAGAGAGAGAGAAAGAGAGAGAAAGAGAGAGAAAGAGAGAGAAAGAGAGAGAACGAGAGAGAGAGAGAGAGAAAAAAAAAGAGAGAGCGCGCCTTGAAAGGTCCACTGCTCAGGCGGGCCCCGGGGCCGGAAAGCAAAGCGGGACCTCCCCCCGCGGCGCGGCGAGGCCCTCGGAACCTAGCGCCCTCCCTGATCGAGCTGCGGAGCGTCGGGGCAGGAGGGCATTCGGGAACGGAGTCAGAAGGATCACAGCTAAACGGCGAGAAGACTCGGGAGGGCGAGACTCTCGAGGACCTCGAGACGCAGTTGAATATAGTCTAGGTCGGCCTCCTGTCGCATTCTCGGGGCCCTACGTATTTTGCATTCTTCTGATGCTCTCCGTCATTCTGCGGTGCGGCTCGACAGGTCTATCCCGGCATTCGAGCAGAGAGCGATGGGGCCTTGCCCTCTCGGCCAGACTCTCAGACACCAGAGCGCGACAGCCGAGCAGCCGTGCCGGCCGGGGTGGGATCGGTGAGCGGTCCGAACGGGACTCAGGCCACTCGCGGAACAAAAAGAGGGGGCCCACCGAGGCGCAAAAGAGAACGCGGCGTCCAACAACCGTGGGGGAACAACTGGGGAGCACAACTTGCAAAGAGCCTGCGCTGCGACGGGAGCGTCGGCCCTGTCAGGCATGGCCCGGGCCGAGAGAGCTTGGGCAGCGTCGGCCGGCGCCGCGATCTTCTGGCTCTCGAAGCTGGCGGGCGAGTTCGGCAGGGTGATGATCAACCGTCGCTTCTGGCCAACGAACCTCGTTCGGCGCATGGGGGTAATTCCATTGCAATGCCACGCGTGCTACCGCATGCCTATTCACGTGGAGTATGGCAGCAGTCGGCGCGTGCGCTGGCGGGCATATGAATGGCGCACCGTGCGCGTGGCTTGCCAGGGGGCCAAGCCAGACAAGTCCAATCCCAAGGAAGAGATGACGCGCGGTTGCAAGAGGCAGCGCGCGGCTTGTTCATTATGCGGGAAAGGTTTCCTCAGCTGGGCGGGGCCGACCCGGAATGGCAGGCTCTGGCGGCCGCCCCCGAGCCGCCGCCGGGCGCCCCGGCGTCGAGGGCGGCGGCGGGCGCGGCGCCGCCGTGGCCGGCAGCGATCGACCCGAACGCGGCGCAGAGCCACCGCCGGAAGGTCGAGCTGGAGCAGCCCGACGACATCGTGGAGGACGTGGGGCAGCAGGCTCGAGAGCAGGGGGCGCAGAGGCGCCGCGAGACCCCCTCGTCACACGTAAAGAGGGCGGCGACGGAGAACCAGCCAGAGCGCAGAGACCAGGCGGAAGAGGCCACGCGACTGCTGCAACAGATCGCGTGGAAGCAGAACCAGCAGGGGGCCTCTCTCAACCGGCTGTTCGCGGCAGTATCAGGACAGATGGAGGCGGTGGCCACGCCCCAGTCGAAAGTGCAGTCGTTGGCGAGGAAGGCGACGGCCTCTTCGGGACAACAGCAGCAGGATCAACCGGCGCCGCCGCGTCTTCAGGGACCTCCTCAGCCACAGGCAGCGCAGGCAGCAGAGCCAATCCCATGGGCGAGCGCGAAGGGCGCGAAGCCAGGAGAAGAGGCCATGCCGACCCAGCCGGTCAGGGAGAAGAGCGGAGCCGATCGCCGCGACATCGCGACGCCGCCGACGGCGGCTCCACCAGCCCATGGAGTCTCCATCAGAGCAATGCCTCCACCGAGGTGCGGCGCACCATCTGCGGCCGCCGCCGCGTCGATCGAGGGGGCGCGGGGCATGGGGTTCGCGATCGCTCCGGAGCGCTACTCTCGCCATCGACGATCAGCAGCTCCGCCGCCCCGCCTGCGCTGGGGGGCTCGCAGAGCGCACCCCCGGCTACTGCGCCAGCGGTGACGGCGCAGCCAATGGTCTGGGTGAGCGACCAGGTGAAGGAAGGTGCACAGCAGCCACAGTCGCGTTTGGAACGACCGTCGAGAGCCTCAGCACCAGCGTCTTCGCCGCGACAATTGGCCGCCCCCGACCCGCGGGCTGATCGGGGGGCGCCCGAGGGGGAAACCTGGGGGCAGCAGCAGGCCGCGAAGGAGGCTGAGCGGCAGCGACTGGAGAGGGGGGGTCGGGGGCAGGCCAGCTGGGAAACGCGGGGCCGCGACGGCGGGCGCGGCGCGGGCGGCGAGTGGTCGCGGGCCCTCTCGCAGACAGCCTAGGCAGCTCTACAACCAGGACGGGGGGCTCGAATCGCAGAAATCTCTTCCAGGCACCCCCCGAAGAGCTTCAGAAACTTGAGGGGGCCTTCGAGGTTGAGCTCGCGGGGAGGAAGGGGGGGGCGCAATTTCATTGGGCTGAAATGGGCGATTCGATTGATGGGGACTTGTGGATCAACGACAGGGAGGCGTTCCCCACTACAAGCGAAAAGCGTCGTTTGAAGGAAGCGGCGTGACGAATGAGGTCCAAGTTTACAGAGCTCAACTGTTGAGCCGAGCCTCTGTGGAGGTCTTTTCTCCACCTAGGATTGCCCGCTCTTCCAGTCCAGTCGCGCAGGAGTCGCGTGTCTGGGCAGCTTCGACATCGAAGGAGGGTGGGGCTTTCGACCAGAGGATCACAGGATTAAGCCTCGGAAACAAATGAGCAGGAATATGCCCTGGATGATAATCCCAGAGCCACCGCGCGACGCTCTCTGCCCACAGCGCCACCGCCCATCTAGAAACGACGCCTGAGCAACAGAAGAATAACGAGGATGCTATAGCTCTCCTTGAATGTTCCACGGCGGTGGCTTTGGAACAGCACCAGCAGGGAAGAGGGTTCTGTTTCGAACGCCCCATCACCGCTGGATCCTGGAAGTCGGGGATGGCACGATGCGTTCAGGGGCTCCCTGGGGTCGACGGGACAAGCGTGCACCTGTGCAGGTTCGGCCTTTCAGTCGTTTCAGATGGTTCTCTGTCTAGGAAGTCATCCATTAGGCCGATGCCGAATTGCGCCGCATTTCTCGAGCGTTTTGCCGGGTCACGTTGCACGGGGGGCCATTGGCGCGCTCTGTTGAGGAGCGGAGCTCTGACGACCATCCGCTTAAGTTCGCTCGGGCTTTGGCGGGTGCCGTTCGGGCGAGCGAAGACCGAGCGCAGCCGGGGCCCCTTTGGTCAGCAGATCAGTTTAGTCCGAGAGGGCGGGGGAGCGGACTCATGCGAGTCCTACCCTGTGGGCGCGGAAGAGGAGGAAGGAGGGGCGGGCCCAGATCCTGAGGGGGTGCAACGAGACCAGCCTTTCGAGGTCACTCCGTGGATCCGCCGGCTGATTCACAGAGTCCACCTGAAACTGGGGCACCCCCATGGTTCCCGGGGGGAGCAAGCCGAACCCGTGGTCCAAAATTTCGTCCAGGAGGAATTCCACTGCGGGGATTGCGCGGCCCGCTCCAGGCCAGCTAGCAGTCGCTTGCCGCCCCTAGGACCTTTGAGTTCAATCGGATTATCGCTCTAGACACTTTCTTTGTGCCTTCCAAGAGGAACAATTGGCATTTCTCGACGTCATCTGTCGGAGCTGCATGATGGAACTTCCCTGCGAGCCTGCAGTGCCTTCATGAGGGCCTGGGCTAGGCCGCTCGGACACTTGCTTCTCGCGAGTGCCGATGGAGGGGGGGGGGGTCCAAGGGGCATTTCGGAAAGGGGGTTGGGGCATCTAGGAGAGCTTCAGCATGTCACGGACTCGGGGAGCCCATGGTATGACGGCAGGGCCGAACGACGCGGGGGATGGGTGAAAGACATTTTGGTGAAATCATCCGAGACCAGCCTTGTCACCAACGCGCCAGAGCTCGAAGCGCTGGTCCATCAGGTCACTGCCGCCAAGAACCGATTCTTTCACCGCGGCGGCTACACCCCTATTCAGTCGGTCTTCGGGATCAATGCAAGGGCGCCAAATGATCCCACCTCTGATGATCCATTGCAGGTGGTCGGGGCTGACGACCTTCTCCCGGCTCGTGGGATCAGGGCGCGGCAGCTGCGGAATTCGCACGTCGCTGCGCCATCCGGCGGCGCGCGCGACGGGAACCGTTTGAATCTTCCAATCAGCGTCGCCTTGCCACGGCCGCTCCCCCGTTTACAGGGGCCGCCATTTTGTGTCCGGCCAGTGGGTTTACATTTGGCGACGAGCTCCGAGAGGGGGGCAGAAAACGTTCGCTCTCCAAAGAGACACATGGGCAGGTCCAGGCTTACTTGTTCTGCATGGCAGTACCTCAGCATGAATCGCCATGAGATCCAGGCTGTGGAAGTGCTCAACACAACAAGTACGCCTGGCCACCCTAGGAATCCGGGGGGCCGAAATTCGGTCAGACACGTCGGTCGTGCATGTTCTCAGAGAAGCTCAGATCAGCCCGCGCCGAGCTGGGGCCACCGCGATGAGCGAAGGGCCCCCTCCTCCTCAGGCCTGGGCGCCAGATGCCCCGGTCGAAGTTGCCTCGCCACCGGTGACGCCCCTGGCGACGGAGGCCGACTCTGGAGTCGCGGCAGGACAAGAGACGGGGGTTATCCCGCCCCCTTGGGTTTCGTCCGAAGACGGAGGCCTTGGAGAACAACCAGGAGCTCTTCCCCTCACCCCGCTTCCGGACTTGCCACCGATTCCAGAATTTGGGAACCTGGGAGCTCCTTCCGGGGACACTCGCCCTCTGGCGCCCAGGCTGGCATCCTTGGGAGACATTCGGGGGGATCTTCGCCGGCGAGTCAATCGAAGGCGACCGGCAGAAGGGCATCCGAGAAGTGGGGCGACGACAAAGGCCACAAGAAAAGCAGGCCGACTCCATCCCGGGGGGAAAAAACGCGATCGGATCAGCACTTAGCAGCGCTTCGGGAGCGGCCGAGTCGGAGGGGCCGACCGCCAGCGCTCCCAGGCTCGCTCTGACGGACTCCGCCAGCCAGCGTCGCACGGCGGAGCCGGCGGGCCCCGGTCGGCTCGCGCGCCTCGCGCAGGACTCGGAAGGTTTATGACGGCTCGACCAGGGGAGGGGCCGAATGCCCATCGGGACTCCGGGGGTGTCTTTCCGAGGGGATAGGTAGAGCGCGGCAGCAGATCCAGGAGATTGAGGGCCCAGGGCGAGAGCGCGCTCGCTCCTCGAGAAGGGGGGGCGGCGAGTCCGCCATGGCCCTCCTCCGAGAAGAGGGAGATGCTCTTCGAGAACTCAATCGCGAGGTTCAGCTGGAGGGATGGGGCGGGTCCGTAAACAACTGCGCTAACGGAAACGCCAATGTGGAAATCGCCCCTCACTCAGACGGCAAGTGCACCCTGTCTCTTCTCGTCAACGGAGGGGCCGAGGCCCTGTGCAATGACCCCTCCCCCGACGAGAAGAAGGAATGCGATGTGTCCGATGCCGCGGAATGGGCTGCGATCGCCGAGGGGGCCGCGGCAGTCGTCGTTCACCCTCCGGACAAAGCTACGCTTCTTAGGAAGCTGTTTCCGAGTCGTATAGTGTGCAGTAGGATGGCGAGGAGGTGGGGGCCGCAGAAGGGGGGCCAGTGTAGGCGCAAGGCGAAATCGAGTTTGCGTGTTCGGGGACATCAGCATGAAGACACCACCGATCTTCAGGTTTATGCTCCCGCTCCATGTATGGAATCCTTATGCCATTATTGGTTATTGCGCTGATGTGCCGTCTCGCTATATACATCGTGGACATCAGACATTCATTCTGCCAGTCCGAACTTTTCGAGAGAGCGCGAGGCAGAGTTTTCGTGGAACCGTGCGACGGAGCCCCGGTACCGCCAGGGTCTCTCATCGAGTTGATCTCGCCCGTCCATGGTTTAAATGGCGCGCCGTTGGCCTCCCACCGGACTGCGGCGAGATGCGTGGAGTCCCTGGGTTTCGAGCAGGCCCGCCTGGAGCCCTGCTGGGTCGGTCAGAGGTCCTCGGGCGAACTCAAAGCTCAGGTGCACTTGGAAGCCGACGACTGGGCCATGGCCTTCCATGGGGCAAGATTATCTCGAGCCCTTCCAGGAACGATTCACCGTCGGAAATATGAAACGCTTGGTTCCGCGGTAGTCGGATGCATAGGAAGGAGACTCAGGGTGATGGGGCACCGAATCCTTTTGGACCAAGAAAAGCCCAACCTGGAACAGCTTCGAAAAATCCCGTTTGCCCGGGGACGTGGAGGAAATCATGGCGCTCTTCTCGTAGGAGGGGAAGCGTCGGCTCTTCGATCCCTGGTTCATGAGCTCCAGTGGGCGGGGCGGGAAACCAATGCAGAGGCCGCGGGGGCGGCTTCCATTCTGTCTAAGAAAGTCAGCGCAACCCGCTCCCACTGCGTTCGGGGGAAGGTGAAGGCACTGGGTCTCAAAACCGAGATCGCAGGCATCGTCGACGAAGGGAACCCCCCTGTGTGCCGCGCCGTGGACAGGGGCGCGAACTTGCAGCTGGTCCCGTCGGAGCGCTTCGCCGCTTTCGTGCGAGCGCCACGGGATAAGTGGCGCCATTGGCTGCGCCGGGCTATGCGTGAGCAGTCTGCCCACGCTTGGGCCCCAGCAAATCAGCCCGCGCAGAGCACGCAGTTCACGGTGTCCTCGCAGCGCCCAACCACATATAGGGCTCTCATCTCATAGGCCAGTCTTAAAAAGCCCCGCCTGCGACACCGATCACAAGACTACATTCCTGGACTAATCGGGTTCGTGCTTAGCCCGAGAATAAGCATGCGAAGAGCACGAAGGTCCCAGTGCCGATGCGGTTCGGGGTAAGCCCAAAACCCTTGGCGGCGAACTGCCGCGCTTCAGCGTCTTCTTTCGAAGATGCGTGGCAGCTTACGTGATGGGGGAGGTGGTGGACCATTAGAGCCTGCGGTGGTAGCGGAGGAGGATCTCTCTCTCTCTCTCTCTCTCTCTCTCTCTCTCTCTCTCTCTCTCTCTCTCTTTATACCTATATATATATATATGCATTATAGGTTCGGGGCTGTCCTACAAAACCCAGGGCCGCAGCCCACATATTGCGGTTTTTTCTTAGAACGGTTAGGGGTAGACCTTAAACATTTTACCTCAGCACTCACAGTGGACACTTGGGCCCCCGCAGGGGGGTGACCCCTGCGGTGCCTTGCCTTGCCACCATATCACGCGAGCACCCAGCCCCAGAGCACTGGCAGCATAGCGACAGTGCCGATCCTCACTTCGGGAGGTGGGTGGTGGGCAGCGGCGGGGAGGATCTCTACGCATAGGGTCGGGTTTATCCTACCGAGCCCTGGGTCGCACCCCAAAGATTGCATGATCTTGTTTTTGGAAGTTAGGGGTATTTGTTTAAAGCCCCCTTGCAACGCTGAGTTTGCACACTTGGGCCCCCACATGGGATGACCCCCGCGCTGTCTTCAGATGTGGCTGTGGGGAACTTTCTTTTCTTGGCCTTCGCATTGTTCGCAGCATGTACTTGATGAAATTTTGCAATTGCTATTGGTTACTTGGTCTAGTTGTTTGGGACATCTCTAACAAGGTACAAGCTGCGTTACTTGGCGGGCGCCTGCTATTCATCCTATATTTTTCTCTGTTTCTCTTTGCCGCCTCAGCCGCGGCGCCCGCCAGGTACCTTTTGCGCCGAGTCATATAAACTAGTATTGTTTGTGTCGCAACACGCGTAAGCGTAAGGTCAGGCCAATTAAAAACAGGAGGAAGAGGAGGAGGAGGAGGAGGAGGAGGAGGACGATCAGGAAACGGAGAAAACACCAGTTGGGACCCTCGAGGGACGTCCTTGGAGTCTCTTGAGTGCCTCTTTGGGGCCTCGTGGGGGTTTCTTGGGGGCCTCTTGGGGGCAATTTGGGGTGTCCTGAGTCGTCTCAAATGGCTCTTGGCCCGCCTGACGCGTTCGGAGGCGGTTTGGGGGGCCGCTTTGGGCCGTTTTGGTGCCCTTTTGGAGCGCTGCAAGGCCGTTTTGGGACCGTCTTGGGAGCGTTTTGGGCGATCTCGGGGTTCTCTTGGGCCGACTTTGGGCCATCTTCGGGGCCTCTTGGGGCGTCTTGGAGCTACCTTGGAGACCTCTTTGGCCGTCTTGGGCGGTCGCAAATCCAAACCCAAACCGGCGACAAACTCGAAATCCTGCCGAACACTTATTGCGAAGGCCTTGCGGCCGGTGCGGCCGACCTTGAAGGGGGACGACGACGTTGGCGGCGGCGGCGGTGGCGACGACGACGACGACGACGACAACGACGACGGCGACGACGACGACGGCGACGACGACGACGACATACGACCACGACGACGACGACGACGACACATGACCACGACAGACGACGACGATAGACGACATACGACAGACGACGACGAGCACGACAGACGACGACGACGACGACGACGACGGCGACGACGACGGCGACGACGACGACGAGCACGAAAGACGACGACGACGACGACGACGGCGACCAGTCCAACGAAATACCGTGTCGCACACGTCTGCAGGTTCGGCGGGTTTTTCTGTGCACTCCAGCCGTGGTTTTGTCTTTAGCTGCGGGTGCACTGCGAAGCGCTGTCGGGCCAGCTCACCCGAATCCGCTTGTGGCTCACGTGGGTGCGTCCCTCCTCCTCCTCCCTCCTCCTCCTCCTCTTCCTCGTCCTCCTCCTCCTCCTCCTCGCCACTCCTCCCTCCTCCCTCCTTCCTCGTTCCCTCCCCCCCCCTCCTCTTCCTCCTCCTCCCCCCCTCCTCCTCGCGCTTCCTCCTCGCTGCGAGCAGGTAGAACACGGCAGTGAGTAGTAGGAAATCCCAGCTGCTACGATGTAGTTTTTTCCGCGCCGGCGCGCGCCGCTCCTGCCAAAGCAAGGGCGCCCTCGAGGGCGCGAAGTTATTCGCGCTTCGCGCTTCGCGGTTCGGCTCCGATTCCTCCTCATCCTCCTCTTCTCCCCTTGGAGGCGGCGCGAGAGCGCGAAGTTATTCGCACTTCGCGCTTCGCGCGGCGCGAAGCGCGAAGCTGGGAGCCCTTGCAAAGCAAGCCTCTCTTCAGGCAGACGGGGAGCAGCAGGACGCCGTGGTCGCGGTGGCGGAGGCCAAAGAAGAGCGAGAAGCACCAGGAGATCTCTTTGGGCGTGTTTTCTCTGCTCCTCTGCACGCCCCCAGGTGTCCGACGCGGGCGAAATATTTTCACGATCTCGGCGTCTTGGGCCAGCTGTCGGGAAGGGGGACAATCTAGCATAGGTCTGGGACGGAGAACTACCCCAGGGACATAGGTCTAGACTTCTGGGGCCGGCCATTGACAAAACATGTCGCCAGATGTCTGGGTCCTCCCTCTCCGTAGATCATTCGACCTAATGGAGGGGGGATGTGCAGTGCAATCTGGTAGTGCCAGTGCCAGACCAGAGCTATGCAAGGGTAGAAGTGGTACGAGCGCGCACCCCAAATATGCGGCGACTCTGTGCAGTCTACGGGGTGCGGTGCAATCTATGGGGTACCACCTTGGCAGTGTACCGTATGCGGTGCAAGCAGGAAATCGTTGCGGGACCTTATCTTCTGTTTGCAACTAAGGATGTCCTTGGGTGACATCTTCAGTTTGATGACAAGCCGTGAGATCTTGAGGGGATCATAGCGCCAGACAACGAGCACCGCAAACATCTGCGGCACCCAGAATTAATTACAGTATGATCGCAAATGTAGAAGTCCAGGATGTGCCTCATCTCCAGGCACCGAGCACCATCAAACCTCTCGGCACCCAGGGCCAACTGTCATATCGCAACTAGGGGCATCCGTAGGGAACCACAGCGCCCCGTAATGCCAAACATAGGAAACTGCACAACATACCAGCACCCAGGGCCAACTCATCACAGGACAGGTAGCAACTCGAAGTGCAATCATTATTCCGTTTGCGATTGTCTTGTTTCTGATTGGTTATTGGCTCCATGTGCCCCTCCAAGGCAGTCCCGAAGAGGCTCTCTCCAGACGGCCCCTCTTGCCTTTCCAACTACTGTTCTCGTGGTCTGGACTTCCAGACTTCTGGAAGCCCTAGTGGCATTGCGCGAACATGTTTGCCAGCGAGGACCCCATACTATAATGTATTGCATTCTGGCTGTGCGAGCTATGTGGCGCAAGCTAGCACATTATGTTGTGCAAAGTATGTGATGTAAAATGTGTGCTGTCAGCTTTGTGGTGTAGGCTTTGTGATGAGCGCTATGTGGTAAACGCTATGCGCTGCAATCTATGTGGTGTAGTCCATGTGGTGGGAGCTGCGTGGCGCAAGGTTTGCGGCCGCCCAGCGCACGAGGCGCCCACGAGACGCCTGCGGGCGGCAGCGGTAACGTGGCGAACTTTCGGTACACCTATTCAGCACACGGGGCGCCCACGAGGCGCCCATGAGGCGCCCACAGGCGGCAGCTTGGCGCAACCTCGGCACACTCACAAGGCGCCCACGGTCGGCAACGTGGCGAAACCTTGGCACACCCACGCAGCACGGAGCACCCCCGAGGCGCCCGCGGGCGGCAATGTGGCGGAACCTCACAGCACCCGCGAGGTGACCAAGGGCGACCATGGGCGGCCACGCGGCGATATCTCGGCACACCCATCGATCTTCTCGAAAGCTCCGTAATAACCTCTAAGTGGAAGCAACGTGTGCGGAACGTCCGCGTCAAACTTATCGTTGCGCGCAGCTGTTCGAGCCGGCAAGGTCCCAGATGAAGGTCCATTGCAACTCACGACGGGCCTTTCTCATTTTGGGGAGCATGTAGTGGCAAGTTTCCAGGAAACCTCATTCCCCGATAGTTGTTCTGGTTTCCGCGAGCCATAAAGTGTAAGGATCGGCGCAATGAAGCGCTTCGAACAGAGCCGGGTACAATATTCCACTCAAGAAGTACGCAAAGGGCTGGATAGACCGCCGAGATTTTTACACGTATTTGTTTGCGGCTACCATGCGAATGCATTGCGTTCTGGGAGCGTGACTTCGCTGGATACGCTGGGTGAGCGCCCCGAGAAAGGCATGTTTCGGGGAAGGGGCAGGACGACCCCTTCCATTCTCCTCGCCTCCGCCCGTCGCACCCTCTTCTTGCACCCTCTTCTTGCACCTGCAGGGTGGGCCCTTTCCCAAATCCGTGCCTCGGTGCCGATCGTAAGCGCGCCTCGTCTCCGTCGTCGTCTTCGTCGGCGTCGTCGTGGTCGTGGTGCGTGTTGTTCTGCTCGGGGTTCTGTTTCCCTTATGCAGTGACCACCACCCCCTTTGGAGCAGTGCGACTTTCTCAGGCCGTATCGTGACATCGCTCGGGAGACTTCCCGGTAGGCCGTTGCCATCCCGGGTGCGTTCCCGACGGCCCCCGCCCCCGAAAACGGCCCCCGGAGGCCGACAACGGCGGACAACCGAAGGCGACAATTTTCAAGTTGCATTCTTTTTCCGTCGTTTTCTTCGTCGTCGTCGTCGTCCTCCTCCTCCTCGTCCTCCTCCTCCGCTGTTTTTTTTTTTTTTTTTTTTTTTGTTTTTTGCTTTCCTTTGCCGTAATGGCCGGCGCTCCGGCGCCACACCCGCAGCACCCTAGTTTGGTGCCAATGCGCGGGCTGTCCTGTCCTGTCATTCTTTTTCCAGGGCAGTGGGAGGTGGCAGGGCCTGGGGGAGCGCGGAATCGGGCGTGGCATTGCCCACCGCCGACCCGAGTGGAAGGACGCGCTAGCGGAGCACATGTGCCCTTCTTCGGTAAGCGAATCGTGCCCTAGCGAGAAGGGAAGAAGCGGTCTTCACCACTACCTCGATCTTGGCTTGGACGGACTTCGTACTGGGCGCCATCCAGTAAACAGCGACGGACTGGCTGTTGAGGCGAACAGCATTTGAAATTTTTGGGAAGGCGGGAGTTGAGAGCAGGAAGCGCACCACCACCACCGCCTGGGGGGATTCGGGATGAGCCGGTGTGCGGAAATGCGGGGGTGCACGAGGTCCCGCGAGAGCGCTCGAAACGAGACACACCACCACCACCCCTGACCTCCCTCTGCCTCCATCCTCCTGGTGGTGGTGGTGGTGATGCGCTCCTGGGGGGCCACATGCGAACCCTGCCCCTGCCCACCACGATTTCTGAGGGGGAGGGTGCGTAGGGGTGGGGCTCGCATGTGGCCCCCTAGCTCCCTTCTCTCCGAGGGCGCGGCACCGCCCACCGCCGGCCCGAGCGGCAGCGGCCCACGGAGCGCCCGCGCCTCCGGCCCTCCGCCGGCGGGCGGCAGGGGTCCTCACCTCTCCTCCCCTGCACGCTTCAGCTCTGGCTGCGGCGACGACGGCGGCGTCGACGACGGCGGCGGCGGCGGCGGCCGCGACGCGGTCGACGAGGTCGACGACGACGTTGACGGACGACGACGACGACGATGACGGACGACGACGATGACGGACGACGACGACAACGAGGTGGCGGTAACGGAAAGCTGCGCCGCTTGGGAACGGTTGCCCTTGTCAGGACGCGAGGACGTCAGGGGACGCGAGGATGCCCCCAGATCTCCGACGATCTGATCTGATTTTTCAACCGGTGGGTTTTCCTGGATTTCGGCCGTTGGGGACCCATAGATGCGCCCCTGGGCCATCCAGGATCGATTCTGGACGAAGACCTACCCCAGTCAGGCGGTCGAGACCTGTGGGGCCGTGGACTGGACAGATTAGCACAAGTGAGCGGATGTCCGGGCCCGAGGCGGATGTCCGTTCGCACGGGTGCCTCCTTCGCTAGGCGGCAGCGATGCCTCGCGCTGCCGCGGCGGTGTGGTGTAACGACAACAGACATGGGACTTGCCTGGGCATTTGTCCATCTGATTTTGTTCCCAGCCATCCTGTGGTGTTAGGTCCTCGTTTTGAAGAGACGGCGCCCCGCGTTTCTTCTCCTCCTCCTCCTCCTCGCCCCGCCTCCCTGTCCTCCCATCCCTGCCTCTCCCCTCCGCACCCTGTACAATCGTGGCCCCACAGGAAGGCCCCAGTGGCTCTGGTCACATGCGCACGCGCCCGGGAATACAGCGTCTCGTGGCCCAATAGGGAGCTCCACCGATGGCCCCAGCGGCTGTGGTTACATGCATCCGCGCCCGAGAATACACCGCTTCGTGGCCCCACAGGAGGCCCCACCGAAGACCCCAGTGGCTGTGATCACATGCGTCCGCGCAACCCAGTACAGCGCTTCGTGGCCCCATGGGAGCTCCACCGAAGGCCCCAGTCGCTGTGGTCACATGCGCGTCTGCGCCACCCAGTACAGGCCTTCGTGGCCCCATAGGGAGCTCCACAGAATGCCCGAATGGCCAGTGGCTGTGGTCACATTCTTCTGCGCCATCCAGTGCAGCGCTTCGTGGCCCTATAGGGAGCTCCACCGAAGGCCCCAGTGGCTGTGGTCACAGGCGTTTCGCGCCACCTAGTGCAGCATTTCGTGGCCCCATACGGGGCTTCACCGACGGCCCCAGTGGCTGTAGTCACATGCGTCCACGCCACTCAGCACAGCGCTTCGTGGCCCCATAGAGAGCTCGACCGAATGCTCCCGTGGCTGTGATCACATGCGTCCGCGCCACCCAGTACAGGGCTTCGTGGCCCCATAGGGAGCTCCCACCGAAGGCCTCGCTCGCTGTGGTCACATGCGTCCGCGCTACCCAGTACAGCGCTTCCTGGCCCCATATGGAGCTCCACCGAAGGCCCCAGTGGCTGTGGTCGCACGCGCCCGCGCAAGCTAGTACAGCGGTTCGTGGCCCCATAGGGAGCTCCACCGAAGACCCCACTGGCTGTGATCACGTGCGTCCGTGTCACCCCATACAATAATTGTTCGTGGCCCCAATTGAGCTCCACCGAATGCCCCAGTGGCTGTGGTCACATGCGCCCGCGCTCGTGAATACACCGCTTTGTGGCCCTATAGGGAGCTCCACCGAAGGCCCCACGGGATGTGATCACATGCGTCCGCGTCACACCATCGAGTTTGTCGTGGTCCCATGCGGGGCTTCACCGACTGCCCCAGTGGCTGTGGTCACTTGCGTCCACGCCGCTCAGCACAGCGCTTCGTGGCCCCATAGAGAGCTCGACCGAATGCCCCAGTGGCTGTGATCACATGCGTCCGCGGCCTGGACTGCGGTGTCCACAAGCGCCCCCCCGCCCATGTGGGCATATGCGTCTCGTGGCCCCACAAGGCACTTCCCCTCCTTCGTCCCACCTGCATTGCGGGAGTTACACTTGCATATGGTTGGGTCCTTCGCCAAGGTAATTTTAATCCGCGGCCCCAAGAGGTCCTGATCTCTTCCCCAGGGGTAGTCTTCGCTCTGGATCGATTTCTGATGGCCCAATGGGCTCGAAAGTAGCGCCCGAGGTTTAAAATCGACAGATCGCGCCCAGAGCCCACCACGCCTCCCCGCGCTCGAAAGAATTGCAACATTGCGGAGAACCTCCACTTAGGAGCCCTGGATCCCACCCTTTCGCGGCATTTTCCAAGCCGGATCGATCCATGAGGACCCCCGGGCCCGAACAGGGCGGCAACGCCGTGAGTGAAAAAGTTGCGGTGCCCGGATCTCGGCGCGCTCTGAGTCGGTTGGTTGGCAGTCCTGGGGCCCGACGAGAGCCTCCACAGGCCGCCCGTTGCGAAACAGATGCGACGCCAGGATGTCCGGGTCCTGCCCTCCCTCGCCAGGCGGCGGCGACGCCGACGCCGCGACCGCCGCGGAACCGGTGCTGGGCACGCCACGCGAGGAGTACGGGGGCCCGAACATCTATACATCACCACCGCCTCCCTCGCTCCCTCCCTCTCCCAGGAGGGACAGAGGAAGGGGAGGCTGGCGGGGAGGAGGGGGGAGGTGGTGAGGTACATCCTGGAGCTGGAAGAGGAGGGGGGACTGGAGGAGGAGTGGAAGGGAGGGAGGGAGCAGAGGGAGCGGAGGCTGGAGGAGATGCCGGAGGAGGCTGGAGGAGGCTGGCGGTGGTGGATCCCTGGGGCCCGGGAGGGGGGCCTACCTCCCGCCAGGCCCTCGTGGGCGCGCCAGAGGCCTCAGCTCCGGCCCGCGGCGCGAAGGCCCCTCGCGGCGGGGGGGGCCCGAGGCAGCGGGGCGGCCAGCGGCGTGCCGGTGCCTCGGCGGCGGCGGCGAGGACGGCGGCGGTGGCGAGGCCGAAGGGGACGGCGACGGTGAGTGCGTTCTCGCTGGGTCTCGGGCCCTGGGGCCATCATAGGCAGGGGTGATCTCAAATGTCTGGTGAGTGCGGATGGTCTCTGAGGATGTCTGGAACTTCTCCGCGCGACCCACCGAGCGTCGGAGCGCGAGAAGATTCTGCTGACAGCTGTTGCGGATCCTACATGCAGCAGCGGCAGTGCCAACAGCGCACGTCCTGTTGCAGTTTGTGCTTCATGGCGACACCCATCGAGCCAGTCGATCTGGGCCAATCGGGGCCCTGCTGGTGCTCGCAGGTACCGCCCTCCGACGAGGTCAGATTCAGCACCGACGACGGCCGCGACGGCGCCGCCCAGCTGGCCGCGACCAGCTTTGTTCAGAAGATCAACTCAGCAGCAAAGCGCGCCAGCGACCAGCGCCCTCAGACGATGCGACGAGCAGCTCGCGAGCGGCGCGCGAAGCGACGCGCAGTCTGGGAAGTCTAGGCAGGAGGGGCCAGACTCTCACAAGCACTCCGACACCTAGGAGCGCGCGCGGAGACTTTCGGGCTCCATGCCGGGTAGGACTTAACCCTCAGTCGGAGGGTACCAACTATACACCAACACCGATCCTGGCCAGGATCACCCTGGTCGTTGGTGTATAGTTGGTGCCTTCCTACTCAAGACTCTTTGACCCCCCCTCCGCAACAGTGGGGAACTGAACATTTGTCCGGCGACCTCATTGACGGACTGGGGTCCCGACAACAGCGGAAGCTATTTTTTGTTCCCCCGCCGCCGCCGACGACGACGCCGACGACGACGAGGAGGAGGAGAGGGAGAAGGAGGAGAAGGAGGAAGAGGAGGAGAACGAGGAGGAGGAGGAGGAGGAGGAGGAGGAGGAGGAGGAGGAGGAGGAGGAGGAGGGAGGGAGGGAGGGGGGTCTCTCGGGATCTCTGCGACCTCGGCAGGGCTGCTCCCCTGAAGGCTCTTGTTCTCAACGGATCATTGCCCTGAAACCTTCCACCCAGTGCTCTGAAACCCTCAAAGGCTCATTGCTCTGAAACTCATCGCTCTGAAACTCTCACTGCTTTGAAATTCATTGATCTGAAACTCTTTGCTCTGAACGAATTGCTCTGCAACTCATTGCTCTGAAGCTCATTGCTCTGAAACTCATTGCTGTGAAACTCGCTCTGAAAAGCTCGAGGGCCCACGGCGCTCTCACGAAATACATGCCAGGGAGGTCTGTTTCTCGTCCTCCTCCTTCTCCTCCTTCTCCTCCTTCTCCTCCTTCTCCTCCTTCTCCTCCTCCTTCTCCTCCTCCTCCTCCTCCTCTTCCGTAGCCATGTTGGCTCAAACCATTTTGGCTCAAACCATTTTGGCTCAAGCCAGTTTGGCTCAAGCCATTTTGGCTCAAGTGGTTGCCGCGATGGGCCGCTTTGCTAGCAAGACCCGTGCTGAGAAGTCTCGTGCCGACAGGGAGTACAGCCTCAGCCCGTCACGGAGGACGTCGCCAACGCCTCAGCGTAGGCGCGAGGTCGATCGTGATCGTGACCGCCGAGCCCATAGTGTTCGGAGCAGTTCGTCAGATGAGAGGCGCGACAGTCGCAGCAGCAGTGGCGGCAGTGACGCGAGCGCCCGTGGTGGGAGTCAAGGCCCGCCGACTTGGATGAAGGATATGATGGCAGAGGTTCGTGGCATGAATGCAGGCATCGCGAAGATGGAGCAGTCCCTGCTGCAGGAGATTAACGACTTCCGATCCGCATTGCAGACTCACGACTCCTACCTGCGCGACGTCCACACTCGGTTCACCGAGGTCGAGCGCGGGTGCCAGAAGACTGTCGCTGAAGCCGATGCCGCCGCCATAGATGTCCAGCTCGAGGGCATCAAGAAGGAGCTGAATGAGATGAAGGAGCCTCCATCGAGTGGTGACAGTTATGCGTCGACACGCACAGGGTCGAGCACTGTACCGCAGCCGCGTGGAGGAGGCCAGGTGCCGACCAACCCGCTCGTGCGGTTCGTGGGCACCTTCCCGCGCTCTATGCACCAGACGGCGCGCGAGGCGCACTACCAGTAGCTCTTGAACGCCAACCAGATTCTGTTGCAGGACGTATATCCGATGTTCACAAGGTCGCTCAGAACTACAAGCTGGTGTTCAGGCCTCTGACTGCTACCCGTCAGTTTTCAGAGAATGTGAATGTCGCTTCGCTCCAATGGAGCGATCCGAGAGATGGTCGTGTTCACCAGCTACGCATCCGTCAAGACCTGCCGATCGACGCTCGCGACCGCCAGCGCCAGATCAGTCGTATCTACCAGCCGATCTTGGACCGCCTGAAGACGCACCCTGAGTGGACATTCGAGTGCAAGCCAAGCTAGGAGTGAACGGATTCAAGGGGTGAGGTGGTGATCGTCACGCCTCGCGACATCTAGATCATCGTGAAGATCGTGAAGCGCTCGGCTCACGTCGAGGCGTTCGTCGCCGTCCAGGAGGAGCTCAATTTGTGGAACTTCAACGCCGACGAGATCCAGCGCATCTTCAACGCCGCCTGCGCCGCTGCCCAGCTGGAGCGCTAGGACGTCCCCCCAGGGCAATTCCGCGTGCACGCAGCAGCTGCTGATGCCGCAGCTGAGCTGGAGGGAGGCCAGCCTCGTCCGTTGAGCCGATCACGGAGGGAGGACCCAGTGCATCCTGCAGGTGATGCCCGCGGTCCGTTTGTGAGGGCGATGAGCTCGCGTCTGCTGCTTTGCTGCCGCCGTCCCGTGCATATCGTATTGTTTTTTGTTATGCTAGCTGCGCGTCAGATCCCTCTTCTCCCCCCCCCTCTTCCAATCGCGAGTTTCCGTATCTCCCCAACTGCCAGCTTGGTATCTGCTCGTGGAATAACCGGGCGATTCTCGGTTCTGTTCATTCGAATCAAGCCAGCTTCCCACGTAAGACCGACCATGTTCGTTCTCTGTTTCGTCGCCCCCAGGTCCTCGGGATTCAGGAGTCGCACGGGGGGGGGGAGACGTGCCGCATATTCAACGTGAGATTCGATCGCACCGTGTGTTTGGTTCGTTCTGTGACTCGCCGCCAGCTGGCGGCAGCTTGCTTCTTGTCTCTAACCAGTTTCTTGCGGAATGGCAGGCTGCTGATTTTAAGCCCGTCATCCCTGGCCGCGCCGGCGTGTTGCACTTGAGAGGCTCGCGAGGCTCGCTGTCGCTCATGAATGCGCATGTGGACCCCGGAGTGGAGCGTCCGCGAGCTGCGTGGCGTCTTCGCGAAGTTGAAACGCATGTTGGGGGACCCACAGAAAGCCCACTTGACCATGGTTAGGGACTCTAACTTCTTGGGGGTCGGGGAGTCTCGGGTGAATGCGTCGTCTGGCCTAGATGGGCCTGCCGCCAACCGCCTCGCCTCCCTCTTCTCCACCTCCTTCCTTTTCCTGTGTGGAAACCTTAGGGGCGGCGATGCGCGCCAGTCGTTTCGGGGCTCTGAGTGGTCCCGCGGCCGGCTGGATCGTACTTATTGCAGCCTCCCCACTCAGGACCTTTTTGATGCTTGCCCCAGGACTGGCGTCGCGTGGCCCTTCTCCGACCTCCAGAAGCCCCCCGATCACGCCCCCGTTTTCCTCACCCTATGTCCGCGGTCTCCCTGTGGGCCTACCCCGATTGCCAACTGGGTTGCGGGGCCCGAGGTTTTCGCTTCCACGGTTGCCGACATGCCTGTCTTAGACGAGCTAGGTTACACGCTCGACAGCCAGCTGCGTGCCGCGAAAGATAGTTTTCACCATGCCGCCCGCCAGGTTCGTGCATTTATATGTAAGCTTGGTGCCGACAGCATAGAGGAGAATATTGGCTGTTGTATTAAACTTATGCGTGCTGTTCGGTCGGGGGGGGGGGGGGGGTCCATGAGGTTCGGATGGCTGTTCGCGGTTGCATTTCCATTTTTGTTTGTTGTTTTTTTTTTTTTGTCGATTCTGAGTTATGTGTGTGTTGACGGGCCGCCAAGCTTTCGACTTGCACCTCGCTGCTTGTATGCGTGAGCTTTGTGAACGGCGCGAAGCTGCTCTGCAGAGAGAGGTTGTCGCGTCTGCCGCGGAGGCTGCTGCCCAGAAGCGTGCTGCTGCCCTCCAGCGAGCGCGGCAAATGTCCCGAGCTTGGAGAACCACTGGTCGTCGTATCACTTTGCAGGTCACCAGTCCCAGTGGTCAGCACTTCGACGACGGTAATGAATGCGCCAAACTACTTGCCGAAAATTGGGGGGAGGTGTTCAAGTATGCCACTTCTCCTCTTCCAGGTATTAAAGCTGCGCGTCAGGATATTTCCCCCGCCCCCGCCAACCCCGTGGAGCATGTTGCTCAGGATGGTTTTCGGTGCCCCTGGATCGTTTCCGAGGCCGAGTTCCAGGACATCTCAGGGTGGAAGAAAGACGCGTATCCAGGGCCCGATGGGGCGCCATGCGCCGCGTGGAAAGCTGCCGGCGACGTCGGTCAGGGCATTCTATTATGTCTGTGCGAGCGCTTGATGAGCGCGGGCCAGTTGCCAGATGACTTCGACGTGTCTCGTAGCGCCTTCTTGCCGAAGGTGCGCCCCGGTGGAGCCGACCCCCAGGCCCGCGCGCCCGCCTGCGCGAGGCCGTTGGCATTGAGCAACACCGACAAGTCACTGGCTGCGTCGGTTTCGCTCTCAACAAGGTAGTGGGGGACGCTGCGGGGATATGCCAGAAGGGGTTCGTGAAAGGCCGTCTGGCGTTAGACAACCTGTTCTCGATCGATGCTGCGATGATGCGAATGGCGACAATGGATATCAGTCCGAAGTTTGGCGCGGCCCTCTTCGACGCAAAGGCGGCGTTCCCCTGTGTCCTCCACGACTTTTTGTGGAGCGCGCTCAAACGTTTAAAGCATCCTCGACATGTTCGACGTGCCATCCGCTCCCTCTACTCCAGTATG